TGACATCACTCGTAGAAGAAGTGCAAAAAAGGTGGAGCTCAAGCTTAAGCTCCCCCTCTCTGGAGCTCACCTCTCCTCAAATGGCTCTGCAGCGAGCACCACTTGGCCAAATCGGTGTATGGTGATGATTATCAGGCCATTATGAGTAAGGGTTGATGGGGGAATTTGGCCAGGATACTAGGGTTACACCTCTACAATTTATGAAAAGTGCTATGGGATTTTAATGATCATAGAAAATCAGGACCTTGGTTTAACTTGGTTTTAATCGGGAAGTTGGTGAGGTAAGTGTTTGCAAACAATTTATATAGGCTGAATTTAAACTAACTTTACTATATTTAATGCCTCATATATAATCCAATGCCTCAGGAATGACACATCAATACATGTCATTGTATAAAAGTCCCTGAACAGTCTCAAGAGTATGGATTTCAAGTTGGACACGGCTGTAGAAGTTCCTTAACCAGCAGGACCAGTATCTGCTGCTTTGCAAAGAGGAACAGGCTGACCTCAAAAGTCCAACAATCCATTTTTGTGAAAAAGACCAAAATAATAAAATCCAAATATTAAAACAAATAATCACTTCAGCCAGTGTTTAAGTAAGATAAATAGCATTTAAAGGAGCTTTACTGGATTTCCTTATCTGACTTTGTTCTTTTGAAGCAAAAACACTTTGAGTTGTTTTATTACATGGTAATTTAAAGTGTAACCCGGAGTTAATCTTGGTTAATGAATGTTACAGTTGTATTGCAGCAAGCTTTTGTATTATTTTATATCAGTTTAGAGTGTGATTGTTATGTTATAAACTCTATGCAAATATATTTGGGAAAAGTCTCTTCATCGATTGGCTTTAATTGTTACTGCCATGCCTCCAATACTGAAAGGATGTTTCTGATTGGAGCGCAGGGAGGGTGAAGGAGAGATGGGGGAATAACTTTGACAGCACTGTCACTTTAGACTTTACCTCATAGACTTTACATAAAAAAGGTAGTTAGAGTGTAATCAGATAATCACTTCGAAAGTGTGTTTGCCCTTTTTTTGTTCTTAGTTTAAATATTATTAGTGAGTTTTGTTTATTTTGATACATTGATAACATAATGTTTATGTTATAAGTGCACAGACTCTGTTGGCAATGTTGATGTTCAAACAAAAGTCTGTTAATTCAGTTTGATAGAGGCCAAAGGCTGGTTTATACTTCTGCTTCGAGTGATCAGCATGACCCACTGGGCATGCCTAGGTGGAGCGTAGTGGTGCATTTATACTTCTGCAGGCTGTTTGTGTTGCTCTACAAAAACTCTTCCGAAACACTAGCTGGCAGTATGTTTTTTTTTATTCCTCTGTTTCGAGTTTCTTTGCAAGTTTAAAAAAATAATAAATTATGAACGCTACAACTCGTTCATTCAGAGGCGGACCGGCAGCAATGCAACATTAATCATAAGGTGAACACAAAACAAAACTTTCCATCTGGGGCTCCTTCACAGGACTCAACACCTGTAAACACTCGCTCCAACAAGTTCAGGTGGCTCTCAGTCCCGCCCACATCGGGATCGTCATCACTACCAACCAGACCAATTACAGAGCATGTGCTACGCATTGTTGCGACATGTAGTTACATTTTGCTATGCATTGTTGTGACGTGTAGTTACATTTTTTGAGAGGTGTGCATCAGCGTCAGGCTATATTCGAGGCTATATGTCAAACTGCTTGTTAACGCAAAAATTTAAGTGACTTTAAACGTGGCATGGTTGTTGGTGCTAGACGGGCTGGCCTGAGTATTTCAGAAACTGCTGATCTACTAGGATTTTCAAGCACATCAATCCCTAGGGTTAACAAAGAATGGTCCAAAAAAGAGAAAATATTCAGTAAGCGGCAGTTCTGTGGGCGCAAATGCCTTGTTGATGCCAAAGGTCAGACGAGAATGGCCCGACTGGTTCCACCTGATACCTTTAGAAAACACAACAGTAACTCAAAAAACCCCTCGCTACAATCGAGGTATGCAGAAGAGCATTTCTGAACGCACAACTCTTCCAACGTTGAAGCAATGCTATAGCAGCAGAAAACCACTTCTGTCAGCTAAAAAGAGGAAACCGAATCTACAATTCACACAGGCTCACCAAAACTGGACAATAGAAGATTGGAAAAGCATTGCCTGGTCTGATGAGTCTTACTTTGCTGCAACATTCGGATGGTACTGATTTTGAACTTGAATTTGACATCAACAACATGAAAGCATGGATCCTTCCTGCCTTTTATCAACAGTTCAGGCTGCTGGTAGTGTAACGGTGTGGCGATGTTTTCTTGACACATTTTGGGCTTATTAGAACCAACTGAGCACCGTGTCAACTCCACAGCCCACTCGAGTATTGTTGCTGACCATGTCCATCCCTTTATGACCACAGTGTACCCATCCTCCGATGGCTACTTTCAGTAGGATAATGCTCCATGTCATAAAGCGTGAATCGTCTCAGACTGGTTTCTTGAACATGAAAACAAGTTTACTGTATTCAAATGACCTCCACAGTCACCAGATCTCAATCCAATGCTATCATGTTAAAATCTCTGATGATTATTTCCAGCACCTTGTTGAATCTATGATGGATTAAGGCGGTTCTGAAGGCAAAAGGAGACCAACCTGGTACTATGTGTACCTAATAAAGAGGCCAGTGAGTGTATATAAATATTTTGATGTGTATATTTACATTTATGTACATAAAATGCTGTTAATAAATGAGAATTTTAAGAAAACACTTTCATGTAAAGGACCTGTTTTTAAATAAAAAACAAACAAACAAACAAACAAAACATTTTCCCACAGTAAAGAAGTCTTTATTAATGTTCTCAATTACAAACAGGGAAAAGTCTTTCCAAAGCAAATTAGGATAATTGCATAGTCAGAATAAATTAACTAGAGACTCTTGAGTTTCTTACAAAAGAAACCATATGTATCAATATCTTTTTTTGTATTAATACGTATTTACTGTATGTACAATGGTGCATAATTCTAAATGAAACTTATTGTGTCCTAATCGTAATTAAGTACCTATTAGGATTCAGACATATATTTTCAATAAAGAAAACCATATTGACAGAGTAGCCCACTATTATGACGTAAACAGCAGACGCAAACGTAGACTTTTGAACACCTACCACTTGATATATTTCTCAATGCTGCAGCCAGGTACGTTTCAAATGCTCGAGTTGCTCCTAAAGGCTGCAAATTATTGTGTCATTAAAATCATTTTCAAGCAAACTTTAGCCCTTTAGCCTCGGTGAAGTGAAGGCACTTGAGCAGGCGCATTTTGCTGATGGTATCCGGCGTTGTGGGCGTCGCGGCGCAGCAGCGCGTCTCAAACAGGAACTGGAGCCGCTTTTTTTCAGTCGGTCTGTCTGTCATTCGGCAGAGCGCACAAAGGTGAGCGCACCGTCAGCCATATTATCGCCGCCGGACTCCGCGCTCACTTCCTCGGAAGGGAGGGGAATTTTTCGGCCGAAGCTGTGCTGAACTGACTTGCCGGCTCTGGTAAGATACTCCCCGATCGATTATCGCTTGGGTCAAAGACCGCAAAACAGTTTGCGCGTCTACGGTTCAGGCGGTCGTCTTTGTGCTGACGCCGCCCAGTTCACGGAGAAATCTCTACCAACAGGTGCAGCTCTGATTAACGCAGTGGGATAGCATGTACCTTGCCACGAGACAGGCCCTTTTACAAACACAGAGACGCTATCAGACGCGGGATAGAGCTTTGTCTATTTTGAGGATGAACAGCGTGGTCGTGCACGCTACCATGTGGACAGCATTGTCAATGTAAATTTGTGTTTTAGCCTATGATATAGGCTTGTGAATCGAGAAGCTCGTGGGTCGTTATGCTAAATTCGGCTCCGTGACAGTGAAACGAGTGTTTCTCTGTCGGGGCACCGAAAACCGCAGTGTGTTTCCTGCACTTTTCGACAGGGACGTAACGGCGTCATAAGTCAATCGTCAGCAAAACAGTTTAGTATGAATCCCGAACGAATGACTCTTATGAGCCAGTTATTGGATCCAAAACATCAATACAGTTCAGTTCTCAAGTAAACGATTCTTATGAATCGGATCTTTTTTAGTGAATCGAAATAATTTTAACCGGTTCTTTTTATTAAGTCGTTACCACTCATCTGTCTATTATGGCTAATTATTGATCTCTTTTCTCGTAGTAGTATCATTGCTTTTGTTGTATATACCTAATCAAGCATGAGAATCGGAGCCAATCGTTCAAGCTGGTCAGTTTGTGCACCCATTAGATATAATAATAATAATATTTTTTATAATAATCATAATACTATAGTTTTGTTGTTATTGTAATTACAGTATTAGTTAGTAGTTTTGTATTATAGTTATCTTATTGATCATGAATCGTTACGTAAAGCGCGAGTTGTGGAGTGAATCTCGAACAAACGACTCTTACGAACCGGATCTTTCAGTGCATCAAAGCACGCACGAATCAGTAGGAGGTGTTTCAATTTCTGTCATTTCATTTGCTGTAGGACTCGAAATCAAACAAAACTTATAGAACTGTGCTATAATGTTAAATTAACTCAAATGACAACTCAAGTGACTGACAAGTGATGAGGTTAAACTCAAAACGTAAACATCTAATTATAGAAGTATTATGTATTTATTTAGTAAAATATGCTAATGTCGATACTTCAGTTACCTTAAATCATTTTTTTTCTTTCATATTGAGTAATATAGTTGAGCAAACTTTATTTGTTCTCATGACCAAAAACTCGCCTCATGTAACGTTACCATTATTGATTACCTTGTCTATGATCAGCTCCCGCTATGTATATTACTATTAATTATAATAACCGAATATTTGACATTCCCCGTGCAGGCTCGATCTTTGGGGAACAGAGACTGGAGCAAATATTTGCAGAATGGGGTGGGGACTTTAAATTCAAAGGCGGTGTTACCTCTGTTTGGGTGAGGCATTGACAATCTCGAGTTCCAGCTTTTTTTTAATCGTGATTCATGCGGCTGTTCATGGAGTGCGTCAGGGTTTATTCTCGCCGATCTTTAAATGACAGGCAGGCTGCTCTTGAGTCATTCTTAGTTTCTCCTCTTTCTGTTTCACAGGGAGGATCCGTGGAGAGAAAAACTGACTTTATTCTGACGCTTTGACGAGAGGAATCGGCATCTACATCAAAATCAAAATGCCTAAACCAGTAAGTATTAATTTTTATTGAGAGTATGTTTATTATTAAACCGTAAAGACGGACCAGTCTGGATGTTTGCCTTGTTTTCAACTTCTGGTTAGTGTTTTAAAGTTTTCTGAAGGATTTGTTGTCTGATTGGAGACATGTTTTGGTTTATTAATGTTGACTTCAATTCTGTGGAAGCAGTGAAACCATCTGGGAAGTTCTAATGGCTTTGGAATTGTTATAATGGAAGTTGTTGGTTGTAATGTCAGTCCTGTTGGTCTCTGATATTTTTTGCCTTCTGTTGGTAGCATGTTAAAATCAATAAATCTTAATGAAATATGTCCCCAAACACACAAGTAACTATTAATATATACTGTTTTAATGATTACAATGTGGTGGTTTGTAATGATATCATTGTTATATGTTGTATGTGGGATTGGGAACAAGGTTAAAAGTTTTTTTTTTTTAATCAGGCTTTATTTTGATGTAATTAATGTTTGGTCAAACTTTATTCATTTAACAGTTAGTTCCTAAAAATATTTGTGTAAATATTGGACACATCTGGATTTTTTTTTCTTTCTCTGATTGGCATCACATTGACCATTTCAAAGATGGCAGACACATCAAGGCCATAACAAACATTTTTTTGTTATATCCAGATGTTAAACACCACAAATAAAATCCTCTGTGATTGTTTCTGTTGTTTTAAAGCAGGTTTATTTGTTTAAAGAACAAATATCTGGTTGTTATGTCAAACTTCGTCTAATCTAATAGTTACAGTTTCCAGAAACATGTCTAACATTGTCAGTTTTGCGTTTGTCTAGTAGTTTTGCTCGCAAGTTACTTCTTGGAGACACAAAAATGCTAGTTTCAAAGTCATTTATTAGGCTTTGGCTTCATTTTTAATTGCTTTTAGCCACGTTTAACAAATCTGTAATACTAAGAATGTGTGACTTATGTATAGGTCTGGGTCGATAAATTATGTTGAATAGAATCGTGATAAAATTTATGTCAATAACAATGATAAGCTCTGGACTTTTTTTTTTTTTACTCTATATTGATCTAAGAGCCAACCACACCGCAGAAATGGGAATCTAGAAGTAAGTTGAAATTAGAGATGTACTGAATTTTCGGCCACAAAATGTTATGCCATTTAATGGACCCTCTCATTTTTGTGGCTTCAGTCAATAGCCCCTTTCACACATACAGACCTTTCCGGAAAATTGCCGGCAATTTTCCGGAAAGGTCTGTATGTGTGAACAGGTCCTTTTTGAAAATACCGGTAAATTCGTTCTGGCTATTTCCCGGAAAGAGAAGTTGTAACATTACCGGCAATTTGCCGTAATGCTGCGCTGTGTGAATGCATAAGGAAGATTCCCGTAATAAGCGCGTGCACGTCTAGAACGTGCTGACGTGAGACGTCTGCTTTAGCCAATCACAACAGTCAGACGCATTTACGTCCGCGCGGTTTGTGAGGATAAAAGCCTTTGAATATTTTTCCAGACACATTTAGCTGCTAGAAGTCAGTCAGATCACGTTTATATGTTCTTCTTAATGCCAACTGTGTAAATAATCATCGATGAGATGCTTATGATAAGCCGTTGTTTGTTTACCTTCAAGCTTTGCGTGCGCCTATGAGCGCCTGCACACGCACATATTATGAACATCTCGACATGCTAAAGTGGTCCTGCGAAAGTTTTTCACAATATTGATCATCCACAGAGTTTGTAATGTAGTCAAATGTTTACAAATACAAGCACAGCCGTTTAAAGCTCATTTGTGGTTAATGATGTCAGAATTTACCGGTATTTTGGAATAGATGTGTGAATGCTCTTTTCCGGAAAATTTCCGTAACGTCCTCGCCTGTGTGAACAGCGCTTTTTTGAATATACTGGTAAAGTCGTTCCGGAAATTTTCCAGAAATTTACCGGTATCACTGTGTGAAAGGGGCTATTGTCCTTTTAAATCTGTAAGCATTAACAACTGATATTGAAATCTATATCATTATTGTTCAATATCAGGGTATCCACGGGGTCTTAAAATGTTTCATCTCAAAAGCTGAGTTTTAGGCCTCAAAATCTTAAAGCTACTGAAATATTGTGTTGCCAGTCTTAAATACTTTTTAACAGGTCAACAACTTTTCTTTGTTCATGTATAGCTGCCCAATCTGGCCATCAACCAACAATCCATCTTAATAAAACTTTTATTCATTAATTTTCTTTTCGGCTATGTCCCTGTATTAATCTTGGGTCCTCTGGATAATCTCTGGATAAAATTTATGATATTACTATATTTTATATTATATATATAATTATATTTATTGTAATGTTTTAATTACTTTCCTTACAGTAACTTTTGTTTAACATTCTCCATTTATTTACTGCTGAGGATACAGACCTATATTTTTTATTCAATAAATCTTTGTTATTGTATTATCAAATGTATTAAATTATAATCATTTTTGATAGGGCAAGTGAAAATCTTTTCCAACCGGGATATTCGAAAAAATCTTAGCATTTAGCCCTGTATTAAGCTTACATTTAATTCATAATGCTAATAAACCTACAGAAACTCTGAATATAAAAAAAAAATTATTAAGATTGTTTTTTTGCCATATCGCCCAGCCCTACTTATGCGGTAATGTATTTATTTGAGTATTTGGAGTACTGAATACTATCTGTGTTTGCTGTTTTTAAAAAAACCCAGATGCAGACTGAATCATGTGTTGTCATTTTGTTTGAGATGGTAATGTTTATGAGGAAGAGTATACGGAGGAAATGACATGTTGTTTTCCTCTGGGCTTCACATTCATCATTGGCACTTTTTGTGTTCAATACAGTGACTTGTTCTTGGTGCCATGGTCAGTTTAGCTGAAAGTGGATGATTTGGGTTCAGAGAGTATATTTTCAGCATCTGCTATTTGATATAGTAATTGAGTATCTAAATTTTGGGTTAATATAGCCAGGTTTCTTTGATTTTGATGCCACTAAGAGTAGTAAGTGATTCTTGTGTGCACATTTGAGTCTTAATGTTTTTTACTCCAGCTTTTATGTTTCAGGTCAGGTGTGTCTATAATCAGCACTTTCAACAGCCGAGGGTGTTTCCTCTTCAATCTTTATCAATTATTTAGTTGAACAAATAATAACTAGACAATGCTTGTTACGCCCTTTGGTGATGTAGCACAAAAAAGCTCATTGTGCTGTAATCAATTCTCATGCATGGTCCGGCTTTAGCTCCAACCAGCTCAACCAAATGCTAACACACAAACATCCAAGATGGAACTTTAGAAAGGTTTGGAGGAAAATTCAGGACAAGCAGAAACATTACTGCATTTTTGTTTCATGCTTATAGAAGGCAAGATTTCATTATATATTTTTATATATATATATATATATATATATATATATATATATATATATATATATATATATATATATATATATATATATATATATATATATATATATATATAGTTTGGCTGTAATTAAAAACATTATCTACACATTTTAATTCTGCCATGCACTGTAATGTGAATCTTATTAGGTCTCTTAAGAAATTATTATTTTGCAAAAAGGTTGCTAGTTTGAGCCCTGGCTGGGTCAGTTGGCATTTTTGTGTGAAGTTTGCATATTCTCTTCATGTTTGCATGGGTTTCTTACAGGTGCTCCGGTTTTCCCAACAAGTCAAAATACATGTGCTTGGTGAATTAAGTTAGCTAAATGTGTGAATGTCCTGGTCCTCCAGGTTGGGGGTTGAGCGTTGGGCTAACAACCTATCTTGTAAAAATTAGATGTTACGAAACACCAGCATGGTGTGGCTCAATATCAACTTCAATATAAAACGGCCATGGGAGTAACTATGCATGTACATGTTTGTCCCATTTGCGTTTGAGATTTAAGCTGCCACAATATGTCAAACATGAAATATTGTCATCTTTATATTAATGTGTTTTGGGTTAAACTAAGGCTAGACATATGCCCTAGACATATCATAAGAATTGCCATGATGATTGCACAAATGCTAATGTCCTTGTGAATCCCCAAATTACAAGCTAAACTCTGCACCAAAAAGGTTTCTGGTGGTCTAGATTGGAAATGCAATATGCACAATATAGCAGCATTTTTTATGACACTATAACAATAATGAATATTTTTACAGTACTGTGACTGTTAGGGTAGGGGTAGACCTTTAAAAAAATACTTTTTATTCGGTAATTTAATAGATAACGTAAATAATACTCAGTACAACTACTGTGTTTACGTTACTGTGACTTGGGGTGGGGCTAGATGTAGATAAAGTACAATTAATGGGAAATTTAATAAATAATAGACTGTAAAACCCAACAGTCAGCTTTATCAAATTAAATGAGTGTAGTTAACGCAAAATTAACTGAAAGGTAATTTTACTCATTTGGAAAGAGTTTTGAACTCGGTGTTGAAGGTAATGAGTTACATTAATGTAAATACCTCATTACTTCAACTTAAATGGGTAAGTTAACACTACTCATTTAGATTAGTTTTTTTTTAACTCTGATGGTTGGTAGAATTTGTTTTCCTTAAATGGTTTAAGTTACCATAACTTATTTTGTTTTACAGTAGAACGCAGTAGTACACAGAAAATAAGAACAGCACTTAAATGTAGTAAAAATTAAACCGAAAGCATGCACTTCATTTAAATAATCGTATCACATTTTAGAGTTATGATTGCGACAAGCGTTTAATGTTTTTCTCTCATAGTGAACTCATGTTCTGCATGAGAATAAATGTTTAACAGTGTCAATAGGCAACTCTAACCTATATAATGCAAGAGGGAATCTGAAACTGACAAATGTCTGAATTTACCAGTAGAAAAATCTAATAATGGTCTAATAATGTTGTCAATGACAGATTGCAAGCATGTGTTTCAAACATAATAATTTAACTTATACACATAGTTGAATAGATTTATGAATGGTTGTATTCTGATGTCATCACAATACTGTGCATTAATGACCAGGACAAATTTAAAGTCTGTTAAAGTCCACC